AAAGAAATCTTCTTCTTCAAGTAACCTTGTGAATCCCTCACAAACCCCTCACTTGATCTCTCACTCTTCACTCTTACAATCTCTCCCAAACTCTCACACTCAATGATCTCTCTCAAGAGAAAATAACTCCAAAGGCACTTGTAATAGTTTCTAGGACTCCTTATATAGAAAGGATATGAAAAACCGATCAAAAAATTGCTAAAAACATATTTTTCTGCGCAGTGGATCATCCCGTATGAAATTGAGTTAGTACGGACGAACAGTGTAAAAAACTGTCCCGTACGAACCATTTATGCATCTGTACGAACCAATTTCGTCCTGGATGAAATAGGTTCGTCCCGTACGAAAAAATTTTGTCCGGTACGAACAGTTATATTAAAAGTTGGTTCCGAAAACTGTAGAACGTTGTCATAAACTTTCATAGTTTGTTCCCATCGTCCTGGACGAACATGACTTCGTCTGGACAAAATTTTTACAGATAGCAACTCGTCCTAGGACAAAAATGATTTCGTCTTGACGATTATGACTTAGAAAAATTTTCAATTCAGTTCGTGTCCGTTCCATTGCTCTTACAAGGAGATAACTGATCTGATCGTCCTGTAAGAACAATGTTCGTCCTGTACGATCAGTACAAAAACTTTTTCAAGATCTCCATTTGTGTGTGTGAATTTATTCACTCAATTACAATCAATCCCTCTCAAATTTAATTCAAATAAAAAGTACAAGCTTCAAATTCTCATAGTATCTCATGCTGAATTTAATTTGAAGTCTTCGTAGTCTGGAGTTTGATTTTCCTAAAATATTAGTACACACAAGAGCAAAAACAAATCTTCACAAAAATGTTAGGAGATAACAACACATAAAATAATAATATTTGGAATCATCAAAACTATACAAGTTGCAAGAATGTAAAACATGCAAATAGCAACTTTCCTAACAAACATGACCTTGCACAGATCATAGACCAGAAAATCAACTCCCTTCTTAATCCATCCGATTTTAAATGGGTTAGGATTCTTCGTTGTCTTGAGCTGTAATGCTTGGAAGGCAGCGCAGGAAATGATATTTTCAGTGCAGCCACTATCTATAACCAAGTCACACACCTTCCCATTAAGAGTGCACTTCGTGCAAAAAAAAATTATTTCTTTGGTTTTCTACAGGCTTCCTTGTTGCAATCAGTACTTTCTCCATCACACAAATAACAGGTTCACCTTTATCGGCTGACACTTCTTCCACCAGGTACTCTGCTTCCTCTGGCAATCCGGTGGGTTCACTGTCATCTTCTGCTTCTACTAGCTGAGCTTGGTGTCTCATCGGACACTCGTTGGATTTGTGACTAGGTTATAAACAACAAAAACACTTGATGGTGAAAGTCTTGGCATACGGGTTATCTCTGGCTGGGATCCTTAACTTAGTTTGCCCCCTTTTATCAACTTGTGGTATAGCTCCAGAGGAATTCACAACAGGCAGAGGTTTTGGAGCTGGGTTATTTACCCGGCTTGCTCTTGAGATGTTTTCCTGAGTTGCTCTTCTCGGAAAATTGAACCGGCCGGTTCGTTGTGATTGGGCTTTCGCCTTCAAAGCGAAATTAGCTGCTTGAGATAGTGACCAAACTGAGTTTAAGTTCTAGCTTTTCTTGCATGTGTTCTATCAAGCCGCCTACATATCGTGCCACCAATTGGTTCTCCGATTCAGTCAGATTATTGCGTGCGCTTAATCTGTAGAATTCCTCAGTATAGTCACTAACGGACCATTGGCCTTGTTTACAATTATGTTATTGGAGATACAAGAGTTGTTCAAAATCAGTGGGAAGGAAGTGGCGCCTTATCAATTGCTCCATATGATTCCAATTGTGGATGGTACCTTTACCCTCTCGCTGCTGATTCGGAGTTAGTTGCATCCACCAAGCATTGGCTCCGCCCTTAAGCCGATAAGCCACATATTTGACTTGTTTGTTGGGATTGAACTCCATATAATAATAAAAAAATTCTACAGCTCCTTCCCAATCAAGATAGTCTTCTAGATGAAGTCTTCCATAAAAAAATGGAATATCCAGTTTAATGCGGGCGTGCTCATTATCAGACCTCTGATGCCGATGATGTCTACCTCTATCTGGACGTGGAGGACGAATGTCTTCATCTGTTCCTGACATTTCAATTGCAGGTAGTTCGCTATCCTCCGAATCTGAGCTATCCGGAAGCCTGGCCGGTAACCTGTTGTGAGTAGGTTCACCTCGCGCTGGAATCCTTTGTCCCGGTAAGGTTGCCGGTGCGACTTGTTGCGCGAAAGGATTCGCAGTTGCTCTAATTTGCCTCATTTCTTCCCGCATTTCATTGGCGAACCTAGCAAAAGCATTGACAAGCTCGTCCAATTGCTTGGACATTTGTTGGTGCATATCCCACAACTCATCCAGACTCCGATCGATGTCGGATCGAGGGTGGCTACTACCTTCCGCTAGATGCGACGAACCTAGCTCTGATACCAAATACTGGTGTAGTCGCTAGCGGCAAGGTAAAAACCAGAACAACAAATACTCAGGAATGACAAACCTGGAAGAAGAAGACAATCATATTCTACCTTTCTTCTACGTTAATTACAATATATAACTATGCTACTATGGCTACTGCTAATTACCATATTAGGGGTAAGCAAACTATAAAAAAAGGACAGTAAGCTAATGCAAAAAAAAGGTAAAAGTAGCAGTAAAGATAGTGGGTTGTTAGAGGTAGTGTGGCGTATCTGGCTACAGGGAACAGAATGATGTGGATGGCCACATCAGGTATTAAGATAATTGAAATGATTTTCCAAAAAAAAGAAGAAATAATATAGTACATTACTTCATATTTTACTTATGGATAATTTGATTGGATAAAAAGAAATGTAGTTTTTAAAAATATAAATTTTTTAATTTTTTAAAATTTGGTTGGATAAAGTGTAAAGTAAAATAAAATAATAAAGTTTTAAGAATATCTCATTGTAGCACATTTTAAGGCATAAAGAAATCCCACTGAAATCGAGCAAAAAAAAATCACGGGCATGAGAGCGACAAGCACACGTGAACATCTTCATTTCTTTCGTCATTCTTAACTGTGAGGCTTCGACGTTTCGTGTGAGATACAGTTCTACACTCGCAGCTTCTATGGCTCCCACCTTCACGAAAACATCTTTGTCTTCCACAGATGTTCCTTCCCTCTCACGAAATCCAATCCTCCTACAAAATCCGTCTCTTGTGACCTTCCTCCCGCGAAATTCTCCTCCCACGAAATCCAATCTAGCTCACGTGTGTGAGAGTGGGATGGGAGTTGTTCTTGCGTGGAGTAGGTGGAGGCGGTGCGGGTTCATTAGCGTGTGCATAAGTTAGACTGTAAATGCCCTTCATGCTAATTTCTGCATCTCATTTCTCCAAGGTATGCCTTGCCACACTTCTAAGTAACGCAATGTTTGTGCTTTGATTGATTTAGTCACTCCATGGGGGTAACCTAGACCCGTAGGATAGCTAGACCATCTTGTGCAGACCTGGAGCCACAAAGTGCGTCTTTTATGTTTGATTTATTTTTTTTAAATGTTGGGGGCAATGAGCTGATTTTACTTTACTCTATATACATTCAACCAAACAAAAAAAAAAATTCTCTTGACTTTACAGATAACTAAACATCATAGAAATATTTACTTTACACTGCATTCACGTTACAGCCAATCAAATAGCCCATTAATCTTCCCTTACATAAAATGTTAAGACGTAACTTCACATGTTACTTCTTCCCTTCCATGGACAATCATTCTTACTTCATTCATGATGACATGCATCAAAAAATTCTATAATTTATATATTTTTTAAAAATAAATTATATATTCATAATTTAGCCCATATTCAACTTAATAAATTAACAACTGAACCCTTAAAATTTTTGACTCGTTTACACAAGTTGCTAAGTTGAGCAAATTACTTAAGTTCGCACAAATCCAATTTTTTTAGACTCCAACATATAATACAATGAAAATATATTGTCCGAGGAACTTGACAATTATTTTTATAAAAATCCTCATCCACCAAATGGGGGACGATTCCATAATCAGAATATTCCAAAATCATTGATATTGGAGCTTACAAAGTAAACAATTCATACATTTATTCAAATAAATAAATAAAAAATACAATATCTTCAGCATATAAACTTTCTTCAACTAACATGCACACGTGTCTCAATCACTATCCGTCCATCACTTTAACATTTGGCATAAATTTCTCCACGTGCTCCTTAATAACAACCCACGCCTCTCTCACGTGCCTCTCCTCCGTCAAAGTCCCGCCGGCGGCGAAACGCATAACGTAAACCCCTCCGATCACCGCATGCGTCATGTAAATCTTCCCTTCCGCGTTCACACTCTCCAAAATACGCCGGTTCATCTCGTTCTCTTCCGCCTCATCTCCTCCGGTTCGAACCCGAAAACAAACCGTCGAAAAGTACCGCGGAACCACAACCTCAAACCGGCGGTCCAACCTCACCAGCCCTTCGAAAACCTTCGCCATCCTAACATGCCCTCGCAGAAACTGCCTCAGATTAGCCGTTCCGTACCCACGAAGAACCATCCACATCTTCAGAGACCTGAACCGGCGGCTCAACGCGATTTGCCAATCCTTATAGTCCACGACCTGTTTGGACTCGGTCGCCTTATTCTTTAAATACTCGGGATTTGTGGAAAGCGATTTGATAAGCGCGGTCGGGGATTTGACCCATAGGCAACAGCAATCGAGGTTGTTAAAGAACCATTTATGGGCGTTAAAGCTGAAGGAATCGGCGAGTTCGACGCCGTCGATGAAGTGGCGGAATTCAGGGCAAATGCAGGCTGCGCCGGCGTAGGCAGCGTCGACGTGGAGCCAGATGTTGTGCTGCGAAGTGAGTTGGGCCAATTCGGGGAGACGGTCGACCGCGGTAGAGGAGGTGGTGCCGATGGTGGCGCAGAGATAGAGAGGAATGAGGCCAGCGGAGATGTCGGAGTCGATGGCGAGGCTGAGAGAGTTGGCGGTGAGGGCGAAGGCGTCGGCGACGGTGGTTTTGATGGTGCGGAAGTTGGAATAGGGAATGCCAGCGATTTGGGCGGCTTTTTGAAGGGCGCAGTGGGTTTGGTCGGAGCCGTACACGATGAGCTGGGAGATGTCGCTGCGTTGAAACAAAAAATTTATGTGTTAATTTTGTAAATAAATAAATTTTGCAAGGTCACGCATGTAATTTTACCTATGAATATGTGGAAAAAAAATTAACATGCAAAATATATCAGAAAAATTTCCAAAATTTTTTTATTTATGTTAAACTTTTTTTTATTTATATTAAATTTTGTAGTACAACAACTATTTGAAATAAAAATATATATATTTTATTTTTGAAAAAAATATTGACCGAAATTTTAAATATACTTTAGATTAATATAATACTTAAATAATAATTATTATATATATAATTTAAAGAAGATCTAAAAATTTTAAACTTGGTTCCAACAAATTTTTATTTTATTTAATTTATTTTCCTTCTTATGAATGTCACGTTCTTTGGTTGTTAAAAACTCTTTTCTATTTTAAATTAATTAAATCTGAAATTATTCATGGATATATTCGTTATTGTTTGGAAGCAACTTGCCATTATATTCATATATGTATTTATTATTATATTTATTGAGTTGTCTTAATGTAAATTTTTAACAACTATGATTTTATTTATGATGACTTTCTTGATGTTCTGGAAAACTATTATAAAAAGAGTGGGATTAACAAATAAATGAAAGTAAACGCAAATATATAAAATGAATTTCAAGAATGTTAAAAAATAAAATAAAAATGAAAATTTTCCTTCCAGCAATTTGTTTATGGTCACCCAGTCTCATTAAAAGCTAGTTATGAGCTTGTTATAACCACCAACTCATACTTAAGAAAAAAAGATTAGATAATCTCAAAATCATTACAAACAAAAAAAAATTATCATATATATATATATATCACACAAAAATAATTTGATTTATACTTATTTTTTTCCTTATTTTAACATAATTGTAAATAAATTTAATATTTGTGAAGTAACTTTAATATAAATTATATCATAATATATTGACATAATTTTTTAATTAAAATTTAAAAATATTATATGAGAATATTCTATTACGAAATACGTTAAGTTAGTAATGATTTTCTGAGAAAATCTATTGGCTTTAATGATCACAAGGACACAAATTATATTAGAATGTTATTGACTAAAATATTATTTTCCAAATAAAAAAAACTAAAACTCACCAGCCACGTGATAAAGCGCGATCTCTCGCCGCAGCGAGCGTGCACAGAATAGCCTCACAAGTTGTCCCCTGCAACACCCCACCGCCGCCGCCGGAAAACAGAAACTCCGACGGCAAACAGAGCAGCTTCGCAAGCCAATCCATGACAACACTCTCCAACTCCGTCGCCGCCGGCGAAGACATCCAATTAAACCCCACAACGTTAAAACCGGTGCTCAGCATCTCCCCAAGGAAAGCTGCCGTGCTCCCGCTCGACGGAAAGTAAGCGTAGTAATTGGGACTCATCCAGTGGGTCAATCCCGGAATAATACAGCTCCTAACATCGCTGAGGATGTCCTCGATCGACTCTGGCTGGTTTGGAGCGGACTCCGGCAGGAGCTTGCGGAGATAGCCCGGCTCCACTTGGCTCCGAACGGGATATTTCGCCACATTTTTGTAGTAATCAGCTATGAAGTCGACTAGTTTGTGGGCGTGGAGGCGGAATTCTTCGGCGTCGAGAGGGTGTTGGAGGCAGCCGGTGGTGTCGATGATGTCGTTGGCGTGGAGGCTGCCCATTGTTGGCTGGTTAATGTGAGGAGTAATTGAGATGGCTTTGAATTGGGAGGAGGGGCGAGGAAGGGAGGAGGGGGGAAGAGGGCTTTATATAGTTGCTGGTGGGGTGTGACGCGGGAGGGCGGGGGAGGGGTGATGGGTAGGTGTTGAAATTTGCGCGTTTAGGGTTAATTTCGGTTCAAAGATGGGGACTCTCATCGAGTGGAATGATTGAATTTGATGAAAATTAGGCACAAAATTTTTAGATGTGCATTTAAATTGGTACAATAAAAATTTCCCCAAAAAAACAAATTAGTAGAATAGCCCCGTCGGATTTAGGTGGGTTGGTGGACGAGCGGCACACGGATATAGCCTGTGTGCCGCAAGTGCCTCTTTTGATTGGTGTTCAGGCCAACTCATGTTCGATTTCTCTCTCATGCGGCGCGATTTCTTAGGTGGGGAGAAAATAAGTGCGTGGTCCGACACTTGTAGGTTGGTTGCCGCTAGGTCTATCAAGAAATTAGTTACTCCGTCAAACATCTCCTTTACGGTACCCTAGTTAAAAAAAAGTTAATATATAGATAATTAATATTATAAAATAATAAAATTGATCTAAGAGTTTCGAACATTGTATTGATATTCTGATATAATTTTTTCTATTAGTGATTAGAATGAACGAAATTTTTATAGGATGTTTCCCCTATATTTTTAATTAAGATGAGTAATCCGCATAATACTTCATTTTGTCTATTTATTAAATTAATATTTTTTTTAATCCTTTTATGATGCATTTGTCAAATTATTGCAAATTTAAAATAAAGTGAAAATTATGTGTTAGAATTTTGTTATGGATTTGATTTTTAGATGGGAATTAAAAAGAAACAGATGGAAGATCGTATTGGTTTTGTAAATAGTGAAGTTGTTGGTGCTATGCATGCAATTGTTCCTTAATTTTATTATGTGTTCTTAATTTTATACAAGTTTTGTTATCTTTTAAAATAACAATTAACAATGTATAGAAAATAGTAAGATTTGGCTCACCTCTCTCTACCCCTCACATGCTGCTATTTATCTATTTTTAATAGTATTTAGATTTTTTTTTTTTTTTTTAAAAGGATAATATATTGATTAAAAATCATAAAATTACAACAGCAAGAAGACCTACATTTGCACAGAAAAAATACAGCAAAAAAGAATAAAATAAGTTAAACACGAGCTCAGTATTTGGTTTAGGCTTCTAGCGTCCCAGTCGTCTCGCTCGGACCTTCCAGTAAAGTGTAAAACACGAACCAACAAGCCATCCCGCAAAAACACACCTACGGTTGCCTCCAGCAAAAACGCCCGGAACGCGAGCCCCGACCACATCATAGCTCATAACCATCTTTAGTACCCGAGCAATCAGAAAAGGCGATGAAAATCCGAACATCAGCAAGAAACACAAGAACATCAAAACTCATCTTCTGCGTCTACCTCTCCCCCAAAACTTTCCTCGAGAGCCAATATTTGATGGACGCACAAGCGCAAAATCACGGTCGGATTCCACCAGTTCCTGATCCGAGGATTCCTCAGATGAATCATACAACCAATCATTCTGTTTCCTCATATCCACTCCAGAGGGATTACCCACACAGGTAGCCATCACTTGGGTATCAACTACACCGACAGGGACCTCAACTAAAGTGTTAGAAATCGAAATAACATCTCTAACAGTAGACTGCGACTGCACCTCAATACCTACCGGAACCACTTCAACACAATCAGCACCCTTTAAGACTGAACCAACTCCATTCGAGTTCACAACACCCAGTATAGGTGATCCAACGGAATCCCTCATATTCACCGCTCCAGACATCACCTCCGACACCACATTCTCCTTAGAAACCAGAATGATGTCTTCCCTAACACTAACATCCAGCCCAATCGATGGAACAAAAGGAGTAGCATTAGGAGATAATAAAAAAACATCATCCACACGATTTACCTCCTCATCTGTTATAACCGTGCCATTATTCACAACCACAGGGGACATAAGATTTCCCAAAACAGATTGATCCACACTAGAATTATCCACATTTACAGAAAGAGGGATAGCAGAGTCACTCACCAAAGAAGG